GACAGACAGACAGACTCACGACCGAGACAACGCCTGACCCCTCAGCCCTCAGCAACTTGGACTGAGCTTCGCTCAGCGATTAAAACACACACTGCGTTAACGTTCTAGGACGTTCTTCACACTTCGGATTTGCGTGAATATTTATTTGGAAAAATCTCTCTTTCTTTCTTTCTTTTTTTCTTTCTTTCTTTCTTTCTTTCTTTCTTTCTTTCTTCAAAATTGGCGTGTGGCATTTGTCTGGAAACAGATCTTGAAAGCAGATGATACAAATTTTAGAACATGAGCATATTGCCGTCCGTTAGTAAAATGTTTCAAAATATATAATCTGCTAAAAGTGTGTTTGGCGGTGTTTTTCCCCCTTGAAACTCATGAGAAGTCCTGTATTTATTCAATTCACAGTCCACTTGGACTGGATCGGCAGCAGACGAAGCGGACCAGACGACAGAAAGAACACACGGCAGCCGGTCGGACACAAGGACGGTGCAGAGCTGCAGACAACCTATTGGCTTCCGATATCAGGCGGGATTACAGACCGAGCTCACAGACAGGCAGCGAGACAGGCAGCTAGACAGCGACACGGCCAGCGAGCGGCTGGTTCGTAATGCCCCACAGGCCAGGCGGGCCCGCGACTTGGTCAACTTCACACAGCCCAATGCTGTATATCATACGCAGCCCTCGCCTCGCCCCTCGCCGCAGCGAACACCCCCATGGGCTGGTGACGGGACGACAAAAGAGTCGCAGAAGTTGTGCGGAGAAGCGTAAAATTGGAATTAACGAGATCGCGTAAACCCCACCCCCACCCCTTCTAGTTAGAGAAGTATGGTGATACGACCAACAAACGAGAGATCGCTTTGATTTTTCTCGCACACAAGAAGCACAAGTAGCAGCAACGGCAAAAGAGGAAAAAGGCGATCGATTGATCGATTCCAATTATTTTTATGGTTCACCAGTTCGTTCTCTCTACCCAGTACTGCACAGTTCTTCGAACACGACAAGAGCAAATATCTGCGGTGCGTGAGGGGTCACACGCACCATGGCGTGCGGCACATCACATGAGAGAGAGAGAGAGAGAGAGAGAGAGAGAGGGGGGGAGAGAGAGAGCGGACGCACTTTCTGGACGATCCCCAAACTCGCGGCCGTCCGTACGAGATCGGCCCCGGAGAGAGAGAGAAAAAGGGGGGGGGGGGGCAAGAAAGGGAGAGAGCTGAGAGCTGTAAAAGGGAGGGGATGGGGGCGAGGCCAAACGGAGCGGCGTGGTGGCGGAAATTGCAGGTTTATGAATGAAATTTAATAGAGGCTCAGAGACACAGGGAGAGGGGATGGCATAGCGAATAGCAAAGTGAGACCCCCACCCCGCGTCCCCTACTGGAGCGTGGCGGCGCTGCGCCGTGGAGGAGGCTGTTTTCAATTCACTTTCCGCAACATTACCATAACACAACGTGGGCGACAATAAACCCGGGATGAATCGGAAAACGCGACACATTTATTTTTCAACCCCTCTCCCCCTATCCCATCGCCCGCCGCAACAAGGGAAGATAGGAGAGGACCTCATGGGGAGGACTAGTATCGCCAAAGGCATTTGAAATATTCATCAGCCGCTCAAAGTTTCCCGCGCGCTCCGCCGTGTCACTTACTATTCAGCACTTGTTGCGGGCGCGGCGGGGCGCGGCGGGGCGTGGCGGGGCGCGGCGGGGCGCGGCGGGGCGTGGCGGGGC